GGGTATTAAAAATATTTAGATCTTTATATTTAGCATTTGGAAATAAAATACAATACGTGCATTTTATAAAAAAAATTATTGTTAAATAAAAACTATTTTATAAGTATAATTTTTTTGTGTTCAAATTATTCGAACAAAAGTGGACTTTGTACTGGATTAATAGCAGTACAATAACACAAAACTTGTATACAAATAAAAGCAGACGTTTTCACATTTGCGTTTGAATATTTTTCTAACATTAAAGTGCACTAGAGTAAAATCGTAAAAATTTAGATTAGAAAATAAAAACTATTTTATTGTTTATGTTTTTTTTATTTTTCGAAAAAAAAAAAAATGGAGGGAAAATATTTATACTTGAATAAAAATTAGTCACTACATAGTAATTAAAACAAGAAAATATAAACAAAGAATTGAAATCTTTGTTTATATTTTTGTTTAGATTTAAAGTAGTTTTTTTTTTTTTTATTTATTGAAGAACGAAAACAAAAAAAAAAAAAAGAAAAACGAAAGACACATAAATACAATTTTAAAGTGTATTTCTTCGAGTCTAAACATAAACAATCAAAAAATTGGAGAAAAAAATTAAATACGCAATAAGTTTTTAACCGAAACAAACGAAAAGAAATAGAAACAGCTGATTTTTATAAACAAAAATATCACCTCCATAAACATATACATAAGTATCTAGTAGATACCCTACATATACACATGTACATACATACAGGCATATGTGTTCAATTATATGTATAAATGTACTAAATCTCTTTAGACTTTATTGTAGTCATTAATATTTTTCATTTATATTTTTATTTCATTAATACATATTGCTATATTTCTATTGTTTGTTATTATTGTATTTCTTTTGCTATTGCAAATGTATGTCATGAGCGTCATCGGTTAGTCAGGCAGTCAGTCAGCGAACCATACATTTAGCCAAGTCATTCAGTCAGTCAGTTCATATGTTTGTTTACTTTTTTCTGATATTTTCTTTATTTTTGTTTGTGGTTGATTATCATTGGAAAATGAACACAAGTCACAACAACCCTCTCCACTTTTTCGTCATCTTTCAACACTCTACGTATGAACGTACGATCGATCGATCGTTTGTTTACAAACAAAGGTTTTGAAAGCGAAATACATACTAACGAATAAAATTATTTTTTTTTTGGTTTAACAAATTTTGTTTTTGTATCACGTTTATAAAAACTGATCAATTTGGTTTTTGTTTTTATTATTGTAGAGGCAGAGGAGTAGTATTCAGTGAGAATAAAAGAGCAATGATCTGACTATAATTATAGCCAAAGTAAATTAATAAAGTAGCGACACGAGTTGTTGTACAACAAACGTCTACAAAAACCACAGGCAATTTGTTTTTGTTCGAAATACTCACTTGTCAAAATTTGTTTACAAAAATGAACCAATAATTAATGGAAAATATGGCATTATTGTTGTACTTTCCAAAAATATGTTGTTATTTATATTAAAAGTCACAGAGTTTTCTTTATTTTTTAAAAATTAGAACATTTTTAAAAATATTATACACTTAAAATACACTTTTTCACATTAAATACAACAAATTACTCAGAAATTTGTACAAAAGCAAGCGTTAAAATGAAAACAAATATGGCAACATAAACATTTTTGACAAGTAAGTCCACAAATAGCAAGTTTAAAAAAATAGTCAGCTGTTCAAATGAGTCTACTTTATAAATTTACTTTGATTATAGCATAGAATGTTTTAATAATGGAATCGCTACTTCCGAGATAAATTTTAAATAAATTTAGAACTTTTAAATATATTTTAAATGGACCAGTCAATTGGACTCCAAGTATATGCTATTTAACACTGGCGCCACTAGAAGTCATTAGTTTATGTTGACACCTACCACTAAAGGCTTGAAGGTCAATATTGGTTGCGTTATTCGTGATAATGCCCGAAAAAGTGTCCAAAAATTGAGCGACCGGCTTGTACTTCGCCATGAACAGCAAAGGTAGCCATATTTGAAATAACATTTTCAAATGATCGGTATGATCTTTTGAATAAAATATTTTTTTGTGTGTTACGTTTCACAATATCAAGTTCTATCTATAGGCATAAACATTATAGGTAAGTCTAGTCTATAATCTATAGTCCAGTCAATAGTCTGCTGTGTAGCATAATCCATAATCTAGTCTATAACCTATATTTTATAGTTTAGTTTATAGTCTAGTCCGTAACCTAGTCTATAGTCTAGTCTATAGTCTAGTCTATAGTCTAGTCTATAGTCTAGTCTATAGTCTAGTCTATAGTCTAGTCTATAGTCTAGTCTATAGTCTAGTCAATAGTCTAGTCTATAGTCTAGTCTATAGTCTAGTCTATAGTCTAGTCTATAGTCTAGTCTGTAGTCTAGTCTAGTCTATAGTCTAGTCTATAGTCTAGTCTATAGTCTAGTCTATAGTCTAGTCTATAGTCTAGTCTATAGTCTAGTCTATAGTCTAGTCTATAGTCTAGTCTATAGTCTAGTCTATAGTCTAGTCTATAGTCTAGTCTATAGTCTAGTCTATAGTCTAGTCTATAGTCTAGTCTATAGTCTAGTCTATAGTCTAGTCTATAGTCTAGTCTATAGTCTAGTCTATAGTCTAGTCTATAGTCTAGTCTATAGTCTAGTCTTAGTCTATATAGTCTAGTCTATAGTCTAGTCTATAGTCTAGTCTATATGTCTAGTCTATAGTCTAGTCTATAGTCTAGTCTATAGGTCTAGTCTATAGTCTAGTCTATAGTCTAGTCTATAGTCTAGTCTATAGTCTAGTCTATAGTCTAGTCTATAGTCTAGTCTAATAGTCTAGTCTATAGTCTAGTCTATAGTCTAGTCTATAGTCTGTCTATAGTCTAGTCTATAGTCTAGTCTATAGTCTAGTCTATAGTCTAGTCTATAGTCTAGTCTATAGTCTAGTCTATAGTCTAGTCTATAGTCTTGTCTATAGTCTAGTCTATAGTCTAGTCTATAGTCTAGTCTATAGTCTAGTCTATAGTCTAGTCTATAGTCTAGTCTATAGTCTAGTCTATAGTCTAGTCTATAGTCTAGTCTATAGTCTAGTCTATAGTCTAGTCCATAGTCTAGTCTATAGTCTAGTCTATAGTCTAGTCTATAGTCTAGTCTATAGTCTAGTCTATAGTCTAGTCTATAGTCTAGTCTATAGTCTAGTCTATAGTCTAGTCTATAGTCTAGTCTATAGTCTAGTCTATAGTCTAGTCTATAGTCTAGTCTATAGTCTAGTCTATAGTATAGTCTATAGTCTAGTCTATAGTCTATAGTCTAGTCTATAGTCTAGTCTATAGTCTAGTCTATAGTCTAGTCTATAGTCTAGTCTATAGTCTAGTCTATAGTCTAGTCTATAGTCTAGTCTATAGTCTAGTCTATAGTCTAGTCTATAGTAGTCTATAGTCTAGTCTATAGTCTAGTCTATAGTCTAGTCTATAGTCTAGTCTATAGTCTAGTCTATAGTCTAGTCTATAGTCTAGTCTATAGTCTAGTCTATAGTCTAGTCTATAGTCTAGTCTATAGTCTAGTCTATAGTCTAGTCTATAGTCTAGTCTATAGTCTAGTCTATAGTCTAGTCTATAGTCTAGTCTATAGTCCTAGTCTATAGTCTAGTCTATAGTCTAGTCTATAGTCCAGTATAGTCTAGTCTATAGTCTAGTCTATAGTCTAGTCTATAGTCTAGTTATAGTCTAGTCTATAGTCTAGTCTATAGTCTAGTCTATAGTCCAGTCTATAGTCTAGTCTATAGTCTAGTATAGTCTAGTCTATAGTCTAGTCTATAGTCTAGTCTATAGTCTAGTCTATAGTCTAGGTCTATAGTCTAGTCTATAGTCTAGTCTAGTCTATAGTCCAGTTTATAGTCTAGTCTATAGTCCAGTTTATAGTCTAGTCTATAGTCTAGTCTATAGTCTAGTCTATAGTCTAGTCTATAGTATAGTCTATAGTCTAGTCTATAGTCTAGTCTATAGTCTAGTCTATAGTCTAGTCTATAGTCTAGTCTATAGTCTAGTCAATAGTCTAGTCTATAGTCTAGTCTATAGTCTAGTCTATAGTCTAATCTACAGTCTAGTCTATATTCTAGTCTATAGTCTAGTCTATAGTCTAATCTACAGTCTAGTCTATAGTCTAGTCTATAGTCTAGTCTATAGTCTAGTCTATAGTCCAGTCTATAGTCTAGTCTATAGTCTAGTCTATAGTCTAGTCTATAGTCTAGTCTATAGTCTAGTCTATAGTCTAGTCTATAGTCCAGTTTATAGTCTAGTCTATAGTCTAGGGTATAGTCTAGTCTATAGTCTAGTCTATAGTTTAGTTTATAGTCTAGTCTATAGTAGTATATATAGTTTATAGTCTACAGTATATAGTCTAGTCTAAAATTTAGTCCATAATGGTAGTCTAGTCTATAGTCTGGTCTAGAGTATAGTCTAGTCTATAAATCAGTTTGCAGCTTAGTTTAGAGTGTAGTCCATAGTTTCGTCTAGTCACCTGGGTAGCCGTTTTCTACGGGTAACCCTAAATGATAGGGTTATTGGGACTTTCTCCCCAAACTGCTGGGAAAGTTTGGTGGTAACGAAATTCATGCTCGTTCAAAACTATGGAGATTAGTAAAGGTACATATATGATTTGCTTCCCCTAATCGAATTTCATCAAGTGTTGCAATAGAACACAATAACATAGAGAGAATGTGTGATTAATAAATGAATAGAGAATTTTTTTTAAAAATGAATAAAAACAGTGAACTCTCTTTTACACTCTTTATGATTTTGTTTTTCTATTCATTGCTGCTAAATGAATAAGTATCTTTTTTTCAATTTCTGTTTTGGTTTTTATATTTCTTCACAGTACTTTTTTTTTTGTATTACGTTTTATAATTTAAGCCATACACACACAATTGTAAACAGAAATATAAACTAAAAGATAGGAAAAAGAGGAAAAACAAAGACAGAAAAAAACAGTTTATTGTAGCTTAGAGATACATTTGAAACCATTCCCCTTGACATTCATAAACAAAACTTACAAAAGAACACAAGTCTCGCAAAAAAAAAAAAAATTATAAAAATATTTTATTAGATACAAGTGAAATATAAAAACAACAGACAAGGAAAATTATAAAAGGCAGAAGATTAAGAAAAAATCTACAAAGAAAAAAAGGAAATAATTAAGAAATTTTCTTATTAACAAATTTTTTTTAAAAAAAGTAAGAATTTTTTAAAAATTTTATGAAACTAAAATTAAATATTAATTAAGAGGATTATTTAATGATAATTAGTGAACAATAATATATGGTTGAAGTAAATAAATATTTATTTTTCTTTTTGATAACTTTAAAAGAAATATTTGAAAAATGGTTTTTTAACCCAAAAGATACTTTGTTTAATTTTGTGTATAATTTTTGGTGAAAAAAAAGCTTTTAGTAAACAAAACAACAAAATAAACAATAGTTAAACATACAAAAAAAAAAAATTGTTTTCCTCTGGTTTTCTTTTGTTTAAAAATCTAAACAAAATTTAAAAAAAAAAAACAAATTGTGTATATTTTTTGTGTATTTGTTTTGGTCTGTCTTTAACTCTCATCTGCAAACTAAACAACCCAACAAACCAACGAATCCAACAATCTAACAACCACCACCGCCATCATCATTATCATTATTTTATGATTGTATACTTTTTATTTCTTTTTCAAAAAACTCGCTCTTATTTAACGAAATTTTCTGTATTTTTTTTTTCATTTTTCTACATTTGTTTGTATGCATTTTTTTATACATACAAATGAAAAATAAAAACACTGTATTCTATAGGTACATCTAATATTTAATGTTTTTATTTACATTTTGTTTGTTGTTGTTGTAGATTTTTTTTGGGGGGACTTTAACATTAAAAATAAGCTTCTGTTGTATTTAGTTGGCAATCAAGTGTCGACTTTGCAATATCGTTTGTGATACTACTCGTTCACTCTAACTCGTAAAACAACTCTCCGTGCGTTTTGTGATAATTCCTTTTTGAGGTAAAGCAACGTAAAGAAAGAAAATTTTGAAAATTAATTTTTAACGTCAAAACCCTCCAGTAAAAGTTGCAAAAAAGCAAAAAATCCATGAAAAGTGAAGGTGGGTTTTGGGAAAGAAAAAGTGGAAAAATGAAAAAAATTTCATTTACATTTTTTGGCGAATAAGACCGTAAGACTTTTTAAAGGATTATAAAAAAGGACTTGTGTTAATGATTTTAAACTGAAATCGATTATTGATAATAAAAAAAACCAAAAATAAGGGTGAAAATTTGTTAAAGAAAATTGTTTAGAATTTTTAAAAAAACAAATACACAAAAAATTTGAAAAACTAATTTATAAATAATTTGAAGAAATTGTGAAAAAAATGTTATTTTAAAAAAGAAAATATTATTTAATAAAATATTAAATTCATTTATTTAACAGAAAAAAACTGTGTAAAAATTTCTAATGAAAATTTTAAATTGGAAAAAAATTATTAAAAATTTTTAATATTTTTTTTTGGGAATTTTTTTTTTTTGGCAAAAATTTCAATTTTTTTCAATTAAATTATTAAAAAATAATATTTTTTTTTTCAATTTTTTTTTCAAAATATAAAAATAAATGAAAATTTCTAGTAAATTTTAACAAATTTTTAAAATTTAAAAAATTATTTTTAATATTTATTTATTTTGGAAAATATAAAAATAAATTATTTTAATTAGGAATTTTTAAATTTTTTCTTTTTTTTACAAAAATTTATAGTTATTAAAAAATAATATTTTTAAAATTTTAAAAAATTATTATAATTTTTCTTTCAAAATATAAAAATAAAATAAAATTTTTGCTTATTTTTTAAATTTTAAAAATTTTTATTTAATATTTATTTTTTTATTTTAATTAAAAAAAATTATAATTATAAAAAAATAATATTTATTTTTTAATTGAATTAAAAAAAATATATAATTAAAAAAAAATAATATTTTTTTTAATTTTAAAAAATTTAATATTTATTTATTTTCCCATATATAAAAATTAATTAATAAATTATTTTAATCCAATATGTTTTAATTCGTTTTTCTTTTTTTGCAAAAATTAATAATTTTTTAAAAATAGAATTTTTTCAATTTTAAAAAATTATTATAAATTTTTTTAAATATAAAAGTAAATTAAAATTTTTATTAATTAAAAAAAAATAATTTTAAAAATTTTTATTAATATTTATTTAATTTACAAAATATAAAAATAAATTAAAATTTTTACTTTAATTCAAAATTTTTTAATTTTTTAATTTTTTTTTGGCAAACATTTATAATTTTTTAAAAAATTATATTTTTTTTGAAAATAAATTGAAATATTTATTAATTTTTAAAAAAAATTTTAATTAATTTATTTATTTTCCAAAATATAAAAATAAATTATAATTTGTATTTTAATTCAAATTTGTTTAATTTTTTTTTTGACAAAAATTTAAAAATTTTTAAAAATAAAATTTTTTCCAATTTTAAAAAATTATTATGAATTTTTTTAAATATAAAAATAAAATATTTGTTAATTTTTAAAATTTTTTTTCAAATTAAATTTTTTTTTTAAAATTATTATTAGCATTTATATTCCAAAAATATTATTAATAAATAATATTAATTGTTAAAAAATCTTAAAAATTTTAATAAATTGATAAAGAAAAATACATTTTTTATTCAAAATTTATATTGAAAACTTTTTTTTGGCAAAAATTTAAATTTCCAAAAATGCCTCCTTAGTGGACCTACATAACCAAAATCACATCTACTGTTAAAATTTCATGATTCTAGGTTCAGCTGTTTGGTATGTGCGATGATGAATCAATCAGTATATACATACTAGCTATTCCCAGTGTACTTTGCTACCCTAAAAGCAATATAAATAAAAAGCCCACTTAACGATTTTGAAAATTCTAACTACAATAGTTTTCCAGATTAACAATATGTTACATATGAGAGATGCCAAGCAAATTATTGGAAGTTCGCCAATTTCTATCTATCTATGAAAAATTTGAATTATACAGTTTTCAAGATATACACATATACATATGTGGTACCAAGCCCCCCATTGAAAGTCCGACCGTTATTCTCTAAATTTTCACATGAATGTCAAAGTTCTTCATGTAAAATTTGAAGATTCTAGCTCTAATAGTTTCCCAGATATACGAATTTTTTCCTGCAAAATGTTCAGATGAATATTAAAGTAATTTGTTCAAAATTTGAAGAATCTAATTCTATTAGTTTCCCAATTAAACGAAATGTTGTATTTAATTCATTTGGGAGGTACCAGTCCCCCATTGAAAGTCCGCCCGTTATATTTTAAATGTTCAGATAAATGTCAAAGTACTTCAAGTAAAATTTAAAGATTCTTGCTCTAATAGTTTCTCAGATATACGAATTTTTCTATTTTGTTCATATGGGGGCTCTCAGCCCCCTTTTTTCCTTAAAAATGTTCAGATGAATATTAAAGTTCTTTGTGCAAATTTTAAGAATTTAGTTCTATTAGTTTCCCAGATAAACGAATTTTTGTATTTCATTAATATGGGAGGTACCGCTACCCTCATGTTTAGTCCGCCAGTTTATTACGCAAAATTTTTACATGGGTGTTAAAGTTATTCGTGCAAAATTTTAAGTTTCTAACTGTAATAGTTTCCAAGATAAATGAATTTTTGTATTTAATTTATGTGGGAGGTGTCACGCCCCCTAATGCTAGTCCGCCCACTTTTTATCACAAATAATAATATTGACACTAAAGTGGCTCCGACAAAATTTGAGGACTCTAACTATTATATTATCTCAAATATACGGATTTAATAATTTCTTAATATGGGTGTGGCTCCTCGACCACTTGAAATATCAAAATAAAAAGTAGCCTATTACATATTCCAGAGATACAGGAACATAAACAAATATTTGTATTTTATTCATATGGGAGTTTCCACGCCTCCTACTTCTAGTTCGCCCAGAATTGCCAGAAATATTCTAATTGATAACAAAGTGGCTGAGACAAATTATAGGAGTTATATTTTCTCTGATATATTAATAAATTAATTTCTTTATATGGGATTCCCCCAGATATACGAATTTTGATATTAACTTTATATGGGAGATGACAGGGCCACTATTTCTAAACCGCCCATTTTTGAACAAAATTTTCGCATTGAGACCTAATGATTATCTTACGAAATTTGTTTTTCCAAATTTACGCCATATTTTAATGGCTATTTTTTTTTCGCCCATTTTTCCCCCGAATGTTCATATAGCTGTAAAATCAAAAATATGTATATATTTTTTAAATTTAAAAACGTATTACTATTTTTTTAACTAATTAGAATAATATTAAGCCTATGGGACCAAATAAGACAAAATAAAACTAATGAAATCCCATCAGATCCAAGCTAATATTAATCTTATACGAATTTCCTTAGAAAAAGTCCATTTTGTCAATAAGACACTGACTGCAACTATTTGTGAATCCCCCCCTATCACAACATAAATCACCTTGAAATATCTATTTGTTTAGAAAATGGGAATTAAAGAAACATTAAAAATCTTGCCAAAAAAAAAAAAAAACATCAAACGTTGGACCCAGAATAAGAATACATAACAAATGATTATAAAAATCAACAAAAATCTAACAATTAATCTTATTCAATCCTAAATCAAAGTTGCGGAAAAAAATTAAATTTATTTACTTTTTTTTTTAAATTAATTTAAATTTCTGCCAGCAGTTTTGTATTTTTCTTTGTTTTCTTTTGAAAACAATGAAAATGGACATGGCTCGTAGCAAATTTTGTTAACAACAATTAAATTCTTTTAATTATTTCTTTTCTAAGAATTTGCTTTGTTTTTCAACTGAAAGGCATTTTCGTGAAAATATTTAAATGCATTTCTATACTTGTGTTTACATGCAATTGTTGTTTTTATTTTGTAATAAAACAAGAACAATTTTAATTTTAACCATATATAAAAATATAATACTTTACAGTCATATACATGTCTTTGTAGGTATGTCTACCTCTGTATGTGCAAATGATGCTTTTATTTTCTTTTTATTTTTTTGTTCTTTCTTCTAAATGGTTCTTTATTCAAGGTCAATATTGACGTAATCATAAATGCATATATACCTACATATAGTCATACATACATACTATGTACAATTTGTAAATATATACAAATTTACACTGGACTAACA